GCAAGGAGCCTTTGAAGACTTTAGGTGTGCACATACCTTTCCCGCTGCAAATCGCATCATTGACCTGGTTCAAGGAAGAACGGGGAGAGCCGTTTTTCCAATCCGCTGGGATTGCCGGTCAATGGCATCCGCACTGCTGACTCCACGTCCTTTGGACTTCATGTTCTTCAGGGCGGCAAGAGCTATGTGGATCGAATCTGCACCTTCAAATTTTGGTAACGAAAAATATTTCTCGTCTGGTTCCAGATCCAAGTCCAAGCCGTGCCAGTCTGCCTGGACCCCCCCTGATCTTGCAAGCGTGTGTAAACACCAAACTTTAGTGTCTTTCTCGACTTTTTCGCCTCTAGCGTTGCAAAACAGATTCTGAGCACAAAGGTAAATCAAACGGAGATTCAGATGACAAGCGCTCAGGAAGCACCATGCATGGCAAGATTGTCGAAAGTTCACTACAAAAAGTCCCTTGTTCACAGCAGCGTCCTTGCTCTTAGTAGCGATGCCCGGGTTCCTAGTAGCGATGCCAGGAGCTACTAGTAGCTTCTTGTTCCTAGTAGCGTTTTACACACACCCTGACAAATACAAGAGTCAGCTACAGGAGCTTTGGACACCCCATGCCGCTCATAAGGAACCGAAATCATGTATAGCGTACTCTGCTGCATACTCCGAGTCTGCCTACCACGGGCGCCACGATTGTGGACCCCACAGCTTGCGTGCAATTCTGCTTGTTTGCTTTCGTTTCTCGATGTTTTCGTTTCTGTTACTAGTAGCTTCTTCTTCCTAGTAGCGATGCCCTTTGCTCCTAGTAGCGTCCTACGCGCGCGCGCGCGCGAAAAGGTCCTAGGAGGATTTGGTTTGCTAGTAATTACAAGTGCCTTGCTAGTAGTAACAAGTGCCTTACTAGTAGTAACAATGTTTGCTATTAATTCTAATTAAATTCGTTACTTGTTACTAGTAGCGATGCACTTGTTCCTAGTAGCGATGCCCTTGTCCCGTGCGACGCGTCGAAGGCGCACTTCACTCGTGCCAAGTAGGTGAGGTGAACCCCGAGAGCGTTTGGCCCCTCCAAGGCCTCCAGCCCTGACAAATCTCAAGTGGAACACTGCAAACCTCTCGTTTGGACTGACCTTTCTCTTCAGACTTTCTCTTAGTGGATTGAAATTCATCTGGAACACAGTACACAGGCTCAAGTCGGCCATTATTTGGTTACAAAGGTATGCTACGTTGGCATGGCTCCTTTCTGTTCTAAATTTTGCCCTCGGATGGCTCACAAAGGGTACGCTAAGAAAGAGCAGGAGACAAGATAAACTCACCCAGAAAAAACAAGAGACAAGAAAAGCCACCGAAAGAAAAAGACACCAAGAAAAAAAACAGGAGACAGGGAAACACACTGAAAAAGACCACTGAGAGATCACACGGAAGAAAAAATAAACACCGCCAAGAAAAAGCACAGGACACACCAACATGAATGCAGCGCCTTCCAAAACAAAACGAGACCAATCTCACGTTCCAATGCGGGGCGGTTGCCATCGCTAGTAGGTTGGAGGGCATCACTGGTAGGTTGGAGGCCATTGCTGTTGGGTTGGAGGCCATCGCCTTTTCTTTTCTTCAGACCTTTCTTCCCCTGGTAGCGTCCTTGCTCCTAGTAGCGATGCCAGGAGCCCCTAGTAGCGTCCTTGCTCCTAGTAGCGATGCCAGGAGCCCCTAGTA